TGTCGTCAGCAATCGGGGAGACTCATATCGAGTCGCAGCCTGTGGTGGCAGGCAGGGTTATACGAGTGGCTATTCGTGCACCTGAAGCTGAGCTCATCATTTACATTGTACACAACCATGAGCTTGATGCGGGCACTGTTCGTGGCGTCGTTCGACGAATTCGATGTGATCTATCTTATGCGGAGGAGTTTCCTGACAAAGTACTGGTGATGGTGCTGGGCGACTTCAACTTCGCAGCGGAGGAGGCGCTCATCTTGGATTCTCCTGTGGCTGCGGTGAAGCAGTCAGAGCGTCGCCACCATGGACGTGCTGCAATATGGAAGCAAGCATTGGGGGGCATGCTTGAGTTCGAGCACTCGCACCCGACGCACTTCGATCGTCATGCGGGCACGGAGGCGGCGAGTGACCGCATCTTCTGCTCCCTCGCCAGCTGGCAGGTCTGCCAGCTGTTCGTGATGGCGACGACGTTGGACGCGCCTGCTTGTGTGTCTGATAAAGGGATTTCACATCATGCTGCTATTATCGTTTCTATGACTGCTCGCAGTGCACGGTTGCCAGAGACTAGATGCGTGCCCAAGCATGTGTGTCAGGACCCGTGGTTCCAGAAGAGATTCGAGGGGCTCGTCTCGGACTCTAATTGGGATCTCTTGTCGCCCCCGTTCCAGCTGGAGCACTTTAAGAGCCTCGTGAAGATTGCTGGGAGTAAAACCAGAGACCAGATGTTCAAGACTCTCCCTGAGCACCCCAAGACCCTCCTCTTGCTCTCCAGGATGATTGCGCGTGTGATTTGGCGTCAGGACTGGCAGCTGGCTTCTCGCATACTAGCGTCGCATAGCTTGGCATCTGCACATATGCGGGTGGAGGGGCATGCTGTGGCACTTCTGCATCCCCCGTCGTTTCAACAATGGAGTGCGCAGGTACAGCGGGATGCTGCTGGCCTCGAGCGCTCTGCGTTATCCGCGTCTGCCTCGGCTTCGTCCTCTGGGGCCTCCTCGCGATCGGTTCGAATGCAGATCAGGGCTTTGGAGAGAAAAGCTCGACTGTGGTCTCCTATTGGTCGTCGACTTGCTCTGACATGCGTGCGTGAGTCCCCTGATCATGCCGTCTCGGATCCCCAGGAGAAACTGAGGGTTCTAGGTCAATACTGGGGCCCCGTGTTTGCTAAGAAGTCTTGGGATCAAAATACGGCGTGTACCTATATTCGACAGTGGCTCCCGCCTGTGGGTGATGTTCATCTTCCTCCGCCTACCCCTCGTATGTTACGACGTGTCCTGCAATCGGTGCAAGATTCCGCTCCTGGGATTGGTGGGGCGCCGTATGCTGCCTGGTCTGCGGTACCGATGGGTGCCAAAATCCTGTGGAATGCACTCGAATGGCAATGCGATGGGCAGGCGCTATTCGACAGTGCTAATGCTACGATTCAGGCTTTCCTACCTAAAGAGATCGCTGATGCCGAGCTGCGTGATGGGTCGTGCACACGAAGTCCCGAGAAGGTGCGGGTGCTGGGCTTACGAAACACGGATGTTAAAATTATGTCATCGGTAATGAATCATGCAGTGCGTCCCATACTCGAGGTGGCGGTGCCTAGCTGCCAGCGTGGGTTTATCCCTGGGGGTAACTTCGGGGTCAATGTGTTGGAACTCGATGTACATGCTCGTTGTCAATCGGTTGCGCCGTCGGATTCCTTGGATTACCCAGTTTTGTTTTCCCCGGATTTCGGCCAGGCGTTCCCCTCTCTCAACCAGGACTTCCTGATGTGCGTGCTCTCCTGCCTCGGCCTCCCCGATGTTCTCCTCACCCTTATTGCGCGCGTATATGAAGCCATTGAAGGGGTGGCGTCGTTGAAGGGGGAGTTCGTGAGGTTGTTCTGGATTCGGAGTGGTATCGTGCAGGGTGACGCTTTATCGGGCTCACTGTATGCTCTTGGGACGGCAGCCTTTCTGTGGGACCTGGCTACATGCATTGACAGGGACATGAGGGGACTCATAAGGGCGTGTGCCGACGATATAGGTGGGGTCCTCTCGGCTACTCGACATCTTGCTCACGTGTATCGGGTTGTGTCACTGGCCGAGACGCTGGCAAATCTCCAGCTGAAAGCCGCTAAATGCAAAGTGGTTCCCTTGTCTGGTCGGTTTGATGAATCTCCCAAGGGTCGCGTCAAAGATGTTATTGCTCATGTCGTCCCTCGATGGGCCTCGTTTGAGGTTGTCCCCGAGCTCCTGTACCTCGGCCTCTGGGCCCCGCTGCGGACTCAAAAGGATGCTGGATTGACCCCATAGCCAAACTTCGTCTCCGTGCCCTTGCCATTGCTCATGGAGTTACCCCGGCCAGTATTTCGGCGATATTGTATAATCAGCGTGCAGTGTCTACTTTGTCATATATATATCGCAGTTCTGTTGGCTCCCACCATCGCTGCTACGGCTCGAGCTCTCCGTCTTGGCACAGGTCTTCCGTGTTCCCCTGGGCGCGTTCACACTCAATAGCTGGACTCAACTGGAGAAGTGGGGTTGCCCCCGTGTGCTCAGGTGGGGGCATCTCAATACTGCATCTCTGGTCCGATCGGCGTTATTGACCTTTCCACAACATGCAGAGATTCTATCCCGACTACGGGCGCATGTGGAGGCTCACCCGATGTGGCACTCATTAGATATGCTCGTTTCTGGGAGGCTTTATCCTGGCTTCCGGAAAGCTCCTGCATTCGTGGAGACACTGGCTGATGTCGCGAGTGGTGTGGCTCTTGGTCCCCGTGAATGTCGGATGGTGGCGCGTGCGCTCCCAGTGGCGCATGATGCTCTGATTCCACAAATGGGCAAGCGGCCACGACCACAGCGTGCTGTTCACCGTGCTCTTCGTGAAGCTGATGAAGTGGAGGCTCCTCTTGTGTCGCTGCTGAGGAAGCGCCTTGGCAAGCTTCTACCACGGCATGCGGATGCTCTAGATACCATCCAGTGGGGCGCAGTCCAGGCGGTTCTCACCTCCTGTCCTTTCTCGTGGGCATGGGCTGCGCTGAGAACATGGACTGATGCGTGGCTCACATCGAGTAGGATACTGCATCCCTTCGGACGACGATGCTGTGCGTTTGGGTGTGTGGGTGCGACGGATGCTCTTCGGCACTATGCTTATTGTCGCCCCCTTCATCTGGCTGTCCGTCGTGCTCTGGCTCGCCCTTTTCCTCTACCAGTGCTCGAGCGATGGGGGCTGCGCTCACCGACAGCCGAGGCCGTGGCATACTTGGCAGTGATATATGCGGCCTACAATGAGGCGCGACTCGTCCCTGCTTGGCCTATTTCGCCAGCCCAAATTGCATTCTTGTGCTTTGGCAGGTGTTCGGCCAATGACTACGGCTGCGCCGCAACGTCTACCCAATGGTGTGCGTGTGGGCCAGGTGCAGCTAGACTTTCAACGTCGGCAGCGGGCGCTCTCTGCCTCTTCTTCGACTTCGTCGTCCTGATCCTCGTCTTCTCGGATGGTGGCTGATGGTCCTGGTCACCCTGACTGCCTGCGGCTGACACCAGTGGTCTCATCGGCGTCGCCCTCTCCTCGATCGAGAGTTGCGTCGGACGCGTCGGAGGACCTCGTCATGCTTGACCTGCGCCCTGACCTCTCGGTGACTGGAACGTCATGCAATGAAGTGGAAGCCGTCCCGCCCTCCCCTGCGACACCTGCGACGCTGCTTGCGACGCCTGAGCGTGTGGGTCGTCTCGCGGACCTGAATGACGTTTATGATGACCAAGGGCATGGAGATGGTCCTGAGTCTCTCCGAGCTGGTGGGAATATGGACAGGGCGGCTCTCTTGGATGACGGCACTGTTGACGATAGGGTGGTGGATCCCGACACTGGGTGCTCCTCGAACCCAGGGTCGCGTGGCGTCAGAATGCTCTGTCCATCTCGCAGTCGCGGGTCAGACATACTTTTGCAGACGGAATTGGGGTGGTCGTGTGGTGTCAGATCGCTAAATCCTGACGGGGAGGGCTCCTCGACCTTCTCGCCTCAGGTTCAGGGAGTGAATTGTGAGAAATGGTCTCTTGATGGCGTCAGTTCGCACAGTCCAGGAGGCGGGTGCTCCTCGAGCCCGCCTACCCTGGCTCACCGAGTAAATTGTGAGCATGAAGTCTCTACTGGAGGGAATCGTGACTATGGAGCTGCGAGCGGACCTTCGTCAGGCACTGATTGGATGAGGACGTGTGGGAGAATTGCGCCTGGTGGGACAATTGCTGGGACGTCGTCGGTTGAGCCCTCCCGACAGTTGTCGTGCC